ATACAAATCATCTTTAATTTTTTAAGTTCTAAACATTACAGTTTTTCATTAAGAGCATTTATTACAACAAACCTTACGCAAACAACAAATAAAAACACGATAAAACATCTAAGAAATTACAACCGTCAAAATAATTTCATCTAACTCATGCATCATCAACATTATGTCTTTGTCTGTTTTGACTTCCTCCAACCAAAAATTAGGTCTTCCTGTTGCAAGTGAGGTGGATGTTCTTCTTCGTTGAATCCTTCTAATTTGTTCCCCATCCTCGACGTCTCCCTCTAGTCATCGCATCAACTCTCTCTTCAGACGCTTCATGGAGTGAATGTGTCAAAATTTCATTTTCATCAGATGTTTGGTGATCGAGAAAATAACGTAAACATCCCTGGTAAAAATCATGGGAGATGTCATGACGCAAATAACAGAGAAAAAATAAAAAGACAGTGCGAGAAAGTGTGAAGAATGACAGAGAAACAGAAGATTTATTTATAGAAAATAGCATTTTACTCTAGGCGCCAAGTGAGATGGCGTCTCCTCTCACATTTAAAGTGCATGCGCCATCTCACTTGACTAAAAGTGAGAGCATGCGTCAAGTGAGATAACGCCTAGAGCAAAAGGACAAGTGTAGGCACCAACTAGGTTGTCTCATCCTTTGTGAAATTTTCTAAAACATGATTATTTAATTATCTCCGAAACATAATTATTTCCGAAATTTGTTTTAAAACTTGATTATTAAAAAAAAAATCCACAATTGAGTGTTTCAGAACCATCATTCGCAACGTGGATTATTGTATGACTCACAATTTCACATGACGAATGAATCATCACGGTCGTAGGTAACAGAAACGACCAAGTCGCAACCCAGCAACGAGAACTCAAGAAGAAGTGTGAATTCAGAAAAACCGGACCATGTCTTCAACTGCGACCGCAACGGTCATAGGCACTTTTTCAACAACTCCAGCTTTGAATCGCACTGCTAAACCCACATTTTGCGCCAATTTTACTTCCAGAACCTTCCTCGCATCCCCACTCTCTTCCAATCACTTCTTCTCCAGCCTACCTCGCACTTCTTCTAACCGATCCCCAAATTCGCGTCACTTGAAGCGCTTTTCTACTGTCATGCAGTGGCAGGATTGCACGTAACTAACTCCTCTTCTTTTCACTTAATCACTTATGTCAGTAATCACTTAATTGCTAGTACAAGCGTTTTGATGTTTGTTTATAGTTACTATTTCATAGTCCTCTACTAGGGAGTGTGTTTTGTTTGTGGTTTTGCTATTTTGCTATAGCGAATTATGGCATATTGGCCAATATTTACCATTCTGTCGAGTCCAAAAACCGCCATCTATATCTGCCTTAGTGCTGCCGTGGCGGATACTTGATAACACTGCTTTCAATGAAAAAAAGGATATTGCCATTTGCAGGGTTAAGAAGGAGGTTGATGTGCCGGTCTCTGTAGCATATGCTTGTTATTCTGATCGTGAAGCCATCGCAGAATGGATGCCCTTTATTTCTACCGTTAAGGTGTGCTTTTTCTTCCTCTAACTTATGAAAAAAATGAAGCCTTGTGCCTCTTTTCCTGTCAGGCTAGATTAACTGCATTGATAAGGTTATCTCAGTTCACATTAGACAGTATTGAATTGTGTAGGCTACTTATAGCGATTTGGATATATAGAGTGAAAACCTGTAGATTATGTGAAAAATATACTTAGGTGACTTGGGCATGTAGAGAGAAGACCTATAGATTATGCGATAAGCAAACTAGATTAGATGGAGAAGAGTCAAATAGCTAGAGATAGAAGAAGACCTAGAAAAACTATACGAGAAATTATTAAGAAAGATCTTGAGATTAATTATGGCAGAACTTTATCCATGTAGCCGACCCTACTTAGAGGGATAAGGCTTCACTGTTGTTGTAGGCTATGTATAACATGAAGAAAGACAAAATATTGCTCCTGCTTGATTCTCTTTTGTAAATCAAATATTTAGCTTGTTTGCTTGGAGTTTATGACTTTATGTTTCGAGTAATGAATACAAATTTCAAATTGTATCTACTCTCAACTGTTTAAGGTATCATAAACATGCAATCTTCATTCAAATATCATAAAATGTAACAAAATTTTGATCTTGTGCAAAACTTTGGATCCATTTTGCAGATATTGCCAGACAAACCTGACCTGTCGCGATGGTCCTTGAAGTATAAGGCATTTGGTCAAAGTATTGAGTTCTCTTGGCTTGCTCGCAATATGCAGGAAAAGATTGTCTACCTATTACTTTTGCTTGTATTTAAAAATGTTATTTATAATTGATATTTTTTATTCACGTTTTATCCCCTTCTTACAGCCCACTCCAAATCAGAAAATCCATTGGCGATCTCTGGAAGGTCTCCCCAACAGGTAACTGACAAGGACATTTTCTGATAAGTGAATATCATGTGGTTGGTTGTATTTCCTGTGAAGATTTTTTGTAGTTCCACATTATGAAAACATTTAACCTGTCAAGAGAAAATTTTCGATACACATTTCGTCATTAATTGTCCTTGGTATTATTATATTGATCTGCCCAAGCATTACTGTAGTTTGGCTTGTCAACTGTTAACCTTCGTATTTAAACCAGCTACAAGAAATGAAATTGATGATGTGCTAAAGTGATTTACAAAATTTAAAGAATTGACAAAATCTTACATTTGCCGTTAACCCTTTGTTTTGTGACAAAAGAGAGGCTAAAAAGAGAATAAAGGGGGTTATTAACTATAAACTGTGATATGAATGTGTCTGTGTCTCATTCATAGTAATTGTTGCCATATGTCCCTTTCTTATTTTGTTTAACTTCCGAAACATACTATTAGGTTGCACTTGATTATGCTTAATTGGCTGAATTTACTTCATGAAGTAAAATTTGTGCTATTTTTCTGCTGAGTAATGAAAAACAAGGAAACTGGTTCCCAAAGTAAAAAAGCTGAAAATTTAGTATTTGAGTAAGCAGTAAAGGTCACTCAAAAGTAGTTTGTTTCAACATATATGCTAGGAATTTAACACCATAGTCCTTCGCAGGTTCTTATAGCAGTATCCATTGTTTATGCCCCAAGAAGTTTTGAGGTTTCTAGTCTTAGAGTTTGACTTAATATGTGCAAGTTTCTACACTGTAAATACTGCAGAATCTCTTGTCTTGATGAAATTAAAGGCCTTTAACCTTATAGCAGTGAAATGTGTTGTCCCTACCACCTGTGCTTGGACTAGAAATCTATAGCTGATTCTAGCAATGTTTGCAAAATGTAATTCTTCAACCATGATTAAAGAATTCCTGGCTGCATCTTTCTTCAAGCCATTTAGTGGCTAGAAAGCACATTCTGCATAAGCATACTTAGCACTGGTCTTAATCTAATCTCAATTTCTCATTTGCCAGAGGCGCTGTACGATTCTTTCCAAAAGGTCCCTCTTCATGCGTTGTAGAAGTAAGGCCTTTCATACAATTTTACTAATTTCACTTTTTTTTCTATATTGATAACAATGCAATCTTTCTTGTACAACTGTTGCCGACTTACTTTGATCCCATATTAAGGGGGGAAATTGGGTTAAATCAATACCAATTGTAAATTTCTCAATGTAGTATTTGTCCAACTAGCTGCATCACATTCACTGCATGTTTCTATTGGGCCAAATAATTGCCTATCTATATCAGTCCAGTGCATGACTAGGTGGCACATCACATGTATCCACACTAAGGAATAACTCCTTGTATCAGTCCCATCGACAGTTCTTTCTACACTTTTAACTTCTAACATGGTATTAGGAAAACTTAAAAGTAATAGTACATAGTGTTTTCTACTTTTTTTCCTCCCTGGTCCCCATTCAGCCTTTAAGTCAAGCACTAATATTTCTTTTTTGCATTTTTGCCATTACAGCTGACGGTTTCTTATGAGGTTCCTCAACTTTTATCTCCAGTGGCATCGGTAAGTAATCTAGCCTTTGTAAAATGTAAAGTTCTTGATAACTTTAGTTAACAAACACAGTAAGATAATTCTCATTTTTCATTATTTGGGGATAGATAAGAAGTAATAAGACAAGTGATAGATGCTTTCCTAGTTTTTTCATCTAAAGTGAGATGTTCACTTTAAAATGTCAAACATTGATCAAATATTTAATTTTGACTTTTTAACTTTATTAACTGCTCACTTTAAAGAAATCGGATCATTCATTTATCTAACTTTACACACAGTTATAATGGACTTTTATCTGTGTTTCAGCTTTAAGAACCCTTTGTAATGGTATAATCTGCAGGCACTGCAACCTTTTCTTGAAAGCTTACTTCAACGTGGTCTGGAAAGATTTGCTAATTTAGCAAAAAGCTACAAGTGATTGTCCTGATTTTTCTTGAATTTCACAAAGATTTGAGTACAGCAATCAAACCAGTGTTGGTTATGTGGATGGTTATCCTATTTTTAAGTGTTAGTTCCTCTCAGCTCTGATGGAAATCATGGTCTTGATGCAAAACAAACACATTAACATGATCTTGTGGTACTTTTATAGATTCAGATACACTATCAGGATCTTCTACCCTTCAAGACGCAGGATTATTTCTCTGTATTTTTTGTACTTAGTAATAATGCATGCATTTCTTACAATTTTTAGATTTAGATCTATACTAGCTGTACATCATGTCTTTCTTTACAATAATGCGAATGAATCTTAATGAATATCCTTTTATCATGCAATGGCTGTAAATACAAAGAATAGGATAAAAACTAATATATTCAGAACAAAATTTTATTGATACACAAGAATATGATATGAATGTGGCGGTCATAGTGGGAAAAATGACTAGTACAAAATAATGTAAAAATATTACATATCTACACCACCATCCTCTAACCCTGGACTATGTACATCAACAGACAACATGAAAAAATGATGGCTGCTTTTTCCTACGCCTAAACTGAAGCAGTCAAAAACAGCTTATGTAACCTCCACAACACTTTATTTGATGAACTGTATATACATTCAGTTGCTAGCACTTCCTTCCAACAAATTTCTCAAGCTACAAAGAGCCTCTGCAGAGAGGCTGCAGCATCTCAATTTCCTTTGGGGAGGAGGGGATGGCTCTGACTCCCCGTGGTCAATGGAAGAGAGACATATAATGATCACTGTGAGATTGTCGAATGTATTGAGGCGTAATGCCTCCATAACTAGATCTCTGGCACACTTATCTGGGTCATCGTGCCTCCTCAACCCTTTACGTACAAGGCTAACGGCATGCTGGCTTGACATCACATCCCAGATGCCATCGCATCCTATGATGAGGAATTCGTCGTCATCTGTTAGAACCATTTGACGAAACTCGGGCTCTGCAATCAAAGGTGAGGGAGCACCCCTAGGTAACTTCATGTCCCAGTCCCCTAATGCTCTGGTAACTGATAAAACGCCATTTAGGTAACCATCTTCTACATATCCACCCAATTCTTCAACTCGTTTCCGCTCTAATGGATAAATAGGCCGGTGATCTTGAGACATATCAATGGCCTCTCCTTTCCGACTGAGAACTGCTCGACAGTCACCAGCGTTGGCCACCATTAGAAGTCTGAAAGAAGCATATTGGAAACCAGTCAAACAAATATTCATGGAAGCTGTCTCTTCTCCATAGCTAATGCAACAATAAAATTTCCTTCTTTTTTGATTAAGTGGGATTTGCTACCTAGGTTATACAATATCATAATATCTTTATCATGAATCATATTGAATGAAACATGTTTAGTGAAATGAAATTCATTAGAATCAAATCCTTCTAAACAGTTCGAGAAATAGCTTTCGCTATCCTCTTTCAACTTCTAAAATCTTACACAAATATGTCAAGCTAATAGTGTACCCACCCATACATTAGAGCTATAACAAATGTAGAAAAGAGACAAACATAAGATAGTGGATTGAAAAGATAGATGGACCTACCTTCCAAATATCATAGCAGTAAGAGCTGTGGTCCCTGAAGAAGTGTTCACACTGCAATCATCAGCCATAGCCGAGTCCGCCAAAAGAAAAGCCTTTCTGAGGGAATTCTCTACCTCTTGTAAAAATATGTTATCAACTTCAGATGTCTGAGGGAAATTGACATCCTCAAAGAAGAATTTTATAACATTTTTTCTCATATAAGCTGCTGCTTCAGGTCCTCCATGACCATCAAACACCTGAGACATTTACGAAAGCTCAATTAAATTTAGAATGAGATTAACTAAAACCAAGAGACCTAGGTGAAAAAGATCATTACCCCGTAAAAGGCACTTGGTTTAGGAAATTTATATAGTGATCCTAGATGAGAAGTCAATTCATCTATCCTTATATGTTCATCTTCCATGTATCTACGTGGCCCAATGTCGGAAAAACTACCGGAACGAATGCAAGGGACAAATTGCAGAACTGCAGCTTCTGAGATTATGTCTGCAGTCTTAACATCCTACACCAGAACAATTGAATGCAAATCAGAAAATGAGAATCAATGTAACAATAGACTAAATGATATTGTGTAACTTGGCCAATACACAGAAAAAACAATGCTCAAACTACCACATCAGATAGAAAAGAACCGTCAGAAAGAATGTTTGATGCAAGTTATACAACTAACACAGAGTTCTTATTCAATAAGAATGGCTATCCTTAAGCTCTTAAGGAGGCGCGTGGAAGACGGGCTATCACACAGGAACCAAAACTTTTAACAGCTAAATTGTAGCTGAATAGGGCTCATAAAATATTTGTCTAATGTTAAACTATGGTTAAAAATGACCTCTAATTGTTTGGCTGAACCAAGGCACAGAGCCTCCAAAAACCTCCAAAAACTTAAGACGGCTATGCTCCTAAGTCAAGTTGCAGAGCAGTTAGTTTTCTATGCATGGACAATTACAAACATTTTGACTGCACTTAATCTCAACAGTGAAGGTACAATCATATTATAAGCACAATTTCTAAAATCTAATACAAAATCACTAACATCTTAATGGAGGATTTGATCAATTCTAGGTATCCACAACTATATAAGACATATCTATCTTGACAAAGAGAAAGAGAAAGTTTCACAAAAAATTGGGATCACCACAAAAACCGATTGGACTAATTGTTCCCAGAACAAAAACAAGTAACAAAAAAGTAAAAAAACCATACAAGTTATCAAAATCAAGTATTTTCTTCTAAGATCAATAATCAATAATTCAAGACATAAGCAGATTACTGATCCAAAAAAATTCAACTTTTGCTTCTTTATATTTCTGTTAGAACCTCGATCCGAAAGAGAAGTCAAAGAATTCACACCACAACCGAAGAAAAAGAAACCCATCAAACCCAATTAGCATAAACACAACCCAACAACACAAATTCACCAGAAAACGGAGAAATCACGAAAAGGGTCTAAAAAAACTAACTTCTTTTATAGTAAGTAACTCAGCAGAATCCAATTCAGAAGCACGAACTCGATCAAAATTCGAAGACGTTACAGCATCTGCATCACCGATCTCATGAATATTGCTTCCTTTATTCGGAAAATACTTCACCTCCAACACACCCACGCTTTGCTGACACACAACCTCTGCTTCCGCCACCATTTTCTCTTCTTCTAACAATCTCCGTGTTCTCACCAAACGAAAAACCGATTGAAATTTCAACGTTTCAAAGAGCTGAATTCCGTCAATTGTATAATCTGAAAAGATTCGATGCTAACGATTTTGATTATCTTGCTTTTTTTTTTCTGTTGAGGTTTTCTTGCGAATTTTCTCGCGGTTTCTATTTCGAAGGAAAATAATGATCAATAGTTTCTACAACGCTTGTGTTGAAAAACAATATAAGTGGCTATGGTAGGTACTGGCGGCTACCGGTAAACTTGTTCAGATGACGGACACGTGTAGTTTTATTAACCATAGGATTCTTGAGAAGCGTTTGTCATGCACGCGAGGAGGTGACGCGTGGATGTATTTTTTAGCTGACGCGTGACTTTTGACGTGTTGGAGAGTTGTTAATGTAAAGACGGAAATGCCCTTATGGGTGTGAGTTGAAAAGTTTGACATTATGGAGAGTTTGGTTGCAGTTGGGATAAGGGTAATATGGGTATTATATTTGCGCCGACCGAGGATCTTAATCTGCTCTTCTGTTCAGAGTTCAGACTTGGTGACGCGTTTCGCATTCCTACCACTACTGGTGACGTGTGACGTGGCTTCACTCACGCTTTAATTTATTTCTCCCCTATTTCGTTTTTAGTGGTAAATAAAGATAAAATAAAGTGATAAGTTTAATTAACTAAATAATTATAGTGATAAAATCATTTTTGTTATGTAATGATAAAAATAAATTTTGAATGAATGAATTTATTTTAACGAAAAATAAATTTAATTTAATTTGATTTATATTTTTTATTTTTAATTTTTTTATAGTTTTTAGAGTTTGAATAATTTAGATCAAAATTATTTTGGAGTGGTATTTGCTAAAATGAGTTTAAATTAATAAACAAAGATGTAAATAAAATAGGACAGTATAACACTTGAGTAAATGGTAATTTGAATAATGGTCACATTAATTAAATGTCGAATTAATGGTAAACTTGTGTGAATGTATTTTTTTTGTTTACAAAAAATTTAGGTGGATGCATACATAAGCTACTCATACCAGCTCTAAATCTTGAATCGATTTTAGAGTCAAAATTTCGTTAAAATTTTGAAATCCGCACAGGTTGATTTAGTGGTAAACTTATGTTTGACCTTATTGAGATGTTTGAGTAAAATAGATTATATTATGTCTATTTTTTAAACTTACATTTATATGATAACACTATTGTATTCTTCATTAGGCTAGGATAGAATAAATAATATAATTGATATTGAAATTTTAGAATGACAGAATTCATATGTTTTAATATGCTGAGATTTTTTATTTAACTTAAATATTACGGTAAGATATAAATAATTAAAAACTAATATTAAAAACGTAAATAACATATATGAATTGTTAATTCAGTTCGAAAAAACCTTCCTATTCTGAGAATATATCAAATCAGGGATAAATCCACTAAAATAGTATCAATTCATAGACGCTATAATAAACTTCCAGTTTACAGTCTAATCACTTAATCATTATCTTTGTTAGACTTTTATCTAAGACTCACCTAGATATGAGGCCCTATTTAATTCCTCTTCAATCACAAATAATGATTAGATTAAAACACAGGAAGACACTAGGCATGGCAAATAAATTTGCCTTCGTCGGGCCCCGGCCGCTCCCGTCCCGAAATTAACAGTGAAAATCCGATTTAATCAGGGGTGGATGCGGGTGCGGGGAAAACTCGGTTTTTATTTACGGGTGCGGGGGCGGGTGATGCTAGTACCCGTCCTGCACCCGCCAACTAAATTTAATTTATTTCATTTATTTTTAATATTTTATTACTCATTTACTCTTTTTAATGTTATAATATCATGTTTATTAGAATTTTTTTTTTGAAAATACAATTTAAATAAAAATATCAAACATAAAAAATGCTGTTAAAATAATTAATTATTTAGTTTAATTATTGATTTTTATTTTTATTGAAAAAAAAGTATAAATTTAAATATTTTAATATTTTATTCGGGCGGATGCAGGGAAACCCGTTTCTTATTGAGGGCGGGGGCGGGAGAATAAATATTAGCCTCGACTGGATTTGGGGGCAGGGCAGGTCTGGGTCTGGGTGGCGGGTGCGGGTTTGGGTGTGCTTAAACCCGCCCCGACCCGCCCCGTTGCCATCCCTAGAAGACACACTTTCATGACAGCAAAACAAGAAGACACACTTCCATGACAATACCTACTCAAGACCTAAAACTAAACTCTATTGTTTACAACTTTACTCCTAACTAAGAACACATCTTGGAGTTGCTTAAAATCTTCCTCCAAGAATAACACTCAACTCATTTCTTCACAGCTTTTGAGTGAGAACACAGTGACCATCTCACAATCCAAGTGGTTCACACATACCAACTCTCCTAGAGAGAGGCACAAAGACAAAACCCTAAACTTTTACATCTTGGACCCGTGTCTTTCCTAGGTTACAAAGACTTATATTTATAACCTATTCCCAACTGGATTTGGGCCTTCAAAACACAACACATTCGTTGTTACAAATCAACAGAAACTTCTGCTACAAACAATATCTTCAATCATTAGTTTCCTAATATATCTCTATATTTAGAAACTGCATATTCTTCTGAATTGATTCTTCTTGACCTTTAAATCATAATATTTTGTATATGTTAAATCATAACAGAATCTAATTGTCATCTTCAGCTCAGGCGCGATGTCATATGCTCCTTCATAGGACATCTTATTTGACATGTTGTTCCAGATGATGAGAACTTCTCATCTCAACATGTCTCAGTATAAGATAGGACTTCTTGCTCAACTTGTTCCTGTTAGCAAGTTAACACCTCATATCTAACATATTGTTGTCTTATTTATTTTACAAAAATTAATCCCAATCCTAAAACTAGAGAACTTACAATCTTCCCCCATTTGAGATATTTTGGCTAATACAAATCAATAAAAATACAATCCAATTTTACAGATATAAGAAAAATATTTCTTCAACAGTAGTCTTTAGCAACTACTGAACTCAGCAGTACAGTACCATGAAGTCAGTCATCTTCAGACAAGATGTCAGGACATCTTATTTGACATCTTCTTTCCAACATTTTGAATAAGCTCCATTGTAGTATCAAACTCATCACCAAAGAACAACATCTTCAAGAAAAGGAGTAGAAAATCCTGAAGTCATTTGGTGTACATGAGGAAAAAGATAACTGACACTCCCCCTCTACCCAGGAACCATTCCTTGTCACAAAAGACCAATGGTGGCATAAGAGATTACTTAACCACTTTTTGATCAACAGCCACCAGTGGACCTAGACAAATCAACCACCACTCCGCAACTGTGTTCATAAATCAGATCATAAGTCACAAAAGAATGCACCTGACACAAGATAGAACTTCTTATCCGACATCTTTGTGACAGATCTAAAAAATCAGCCTCTAGATTAATTAGTCGAGCACCTTGAGCACTTTGATCATCACATCCCCCCCCCTTTAGCCAAAACTTGGCAAAGGAAGCCTTCACAATATCAGACTCAGGCACAACTTGCCCAAATCCGAATAAAATCCATTATGATGATGAACAGTCGTATGGTGAAAGAGGACAGGAAAACCCTTTATAAATAGCTGAGCAGTTACTTAGGAATTAACAATCTTTGAGTACAACAATGATCTTGGTCAAAGAAAACGTTATTTGAGGAGAAAAACTGCTAAAATTAATATGGATAGTCCAAGATAGCTTTGAACGAATTTTATTAGCTCTAGACTGTTTTTGCTGAAAAGAACTAGTCCTAATACATGCACATGCATAGTCAAACACACTTCTGAGACGTTGTAATACGGTGGGAGAACTAACTTGGGTGTTATACATTTTATCGCAAATATTGCAGATAGCAAGAGTCGCCACCGACTTTTCTTTTATCCAGTAAAGGAAAGGGTGAAAAGAACAGGAAAGACCTTTTGAGAATTGTCTTGAGTTCGGGGGGTAGGTTATGAAAAGGGAAGGTGTTAGAACCCTTTTCATCCGTAGTTATCTATGGGCTCTGAATTGCTAGCTAACTTTGAAATGCTTTGTGTTTTGAATAAGTTTGAAAATATTTTTAAAACGCCTTCATTCGGCAAACTTTGCAATGATTCTCGTATCATTGAGAATGTATATAAAGTGTTGGTTTTGAAAATATTTGTTGAAAGGGAATATTTGGAAAGATGTTTTGAAAATGCTAATGTATGGAAATTTTGTAATGATTCTCGTATCGTTGAGGATATATCCAAAATGTTTGTTTTGAAATGTGTTTTAAAAGTGTGAAGTGTGGAAATGGTTTTGTTTATGAGAAAGCAATTACGAGCAATCTACCTACTGTTTCCAGTGATTTCTGGTAAACAACCGCTAGTCTTCCAAACTATCGAATAATCTTTCTGACTGTTATTCAATTCCTCTGGTAACTCACAGGATCGACTAGATTGATCCTAGGACTCCTTGGATATTAAGGTTACTCTCACGATCGAACAGATATTCATGGTTTATATTTGAGTGTTTGGCTTATTTCGATTTCTCTCTCTAAAAGTCTAAAGATGTAATCAAAATGTGTGTGTGAAACTAAGTTGCATGAGTGAATGTTAATTGTAAAGACATGTGCAATTGCATAAAAGTGAAGTAAATGGTTTCGAATTATGAAACAATTAATGTAAAGAAATTATGGAACGTAAAAAGGTTTGAAATATGAAGAAAGCGTTTAATGCAAGAAATCTGTAAATGACTTTAAGTAAAAATATGCGTTCGAAGGATAAAACTTGAAGGTAAAGGTATGGAAAATATGACAGTTTTCTAAAATGTAAATTGCTTGAAATGTGAAGAAAGCATTAAAATGTAAAATTTTGAAGAAGAGATTTCGAAGTGAAAAGACTGTAAATGAGAAAACTTGTAAATGCTATTTGACAAAAAGATAAAGGAAAGTGCTGAAAATGGTAAAAGGTTTTCATTAAATCAGAAATACATGGT